TATTCTTCTGCCCAGCTGGAACAAACCTCCTTTGTTTGTGACTCCAAACTTACACAATGTGAGAAACTCGGCCACAGACACACTGGTTATGAGTAAACACCTGACAAAGCTGGCAGTGTGACCCCGCGTTTCCTCATCTGGCCGAGGCACAACGTTAAGGAGCCTAATTATTTCATCAGACACACATCAACATAAGAGGATACAGCAGGCTACGTTGCTGGCGACGTTAAGCCCCGCAGCGAGCCGTCCAGCCCGGACCACAGGGCTTTATGGCCGAGTTACACTCACTCACTGCCAGCCTCCGAGCATTAGCCGTTAGCTGGTGAACAACTGCGCTGTTGTCAGGCGGTAAAACAAAGTGTAACTGCCGGAAAATCTCCCAAACATACAACTAGGAACCCGGCAACCCCAGACAAAGTTATACGTTTGTTTGTCGTTCAGCACAGAAATAAATTACAAGCCACGAAACCCGCAGAGCTGGCTCCGGTTAGCCGGTTAGCACCACGCTAGCTAACCCAAACGCGAGCTGAAATAATTTTTCAATAAAACCAAAGCTACTGCCGATTTAAAACACTCGCTGTTGAGGCGTTTCACCCAAACACACGACGGTTACCGCGGTTCATGTGTTTTAAATATGTCGTTAATGTCCACTTAGTGAGCTAACTACATCCGAGGCCTCGGACTCCAGACGCAAGCCGCGGGGCTCGAGTTCCGGGAGAGCTGAGAGGCCGCAGCCCAGCCGCGGACACCCACCACTGGAGACACCGGCCCAGGCTCCGGGTTTACCTACAAGACGAACCACTCACCGTTTTTTCTTTTCGGCACAGAGACGATCGGCGGCAGCACGAAATGTGATCTTCTGGGTCCAATTGGAGGTCTAGGAGCTGTTATTATCGCCGATGTCGGGGGTTAAATCAAGGCGTTCCCATTTCTTTTAAACGGGTATAGAGATGTCGGAGCGGCCGGTGAGGAGGCGATATACGGAGCGGACTGAAATGGAGAGCCGAGCCGACCGAAGCTGCCGCGTTCAGAGGCTAAAAGTGAGCTCGGAAATAAGAAACACCTCAACGGTCAAAGCCACAAGAAAGGAGAAGTAGTCCAAGTCCCTGCTCATTTACGTTGAAGGAGAAATGAGGACTGACTTTTAAAACGAGGGAATAGGTTCAGTGGTGGCAAGAAAAAATCAAAACATCTTTCAGACACTGAGACAAATTCACTGGAGTAAGATGGTGTCGCTTACAGCTCATAGAAAAGCATCCAGTTGATTTACGCTGCGGGACACTCTTTTCATTTTACTGTCTCTTACTATTATTATATTAAACAAAAAACTATAAATTCAGTAGTGTAAGATACAATACATATGCTGCTGTAATGTCATGTAACATTATAAATAGTTTTAAGAGTACAAAGCCAAAATAAAAAGTAAAAAATAATTTGAATTTAGAATATTTTATTAATTTTTCAACACTAAAAAAACTATGTGAATTTGTTTGGTTTATACAGACTCACACTTCCTGTATCTAATATTAGCTAAAGTATCAAATAAAAGCTTTTCAATATGAACATTGTCAGGTTTGGAGTCGGTTGTTGTGGTAGATGTGATCATGAAAGACAAGTTATGAAAGAAGAATTTATTATTTATACTTTAAGAAATATAATTGTGTATCATTGAAATGATTTATTTGTGATTTCAACATTAAGACAACAAAGAACATGGTACATGATCGTGTTTTATTTACACAGTCAGAGTTAATGGGTAGAATTTAATGTCCATACTCAGAACTTTAACAATAACATTAGTGACAGCTTGAGAAAAATGATTCAGCAGTTATTTGCTGAAGGAAGTTTGGTGATATTTACAGAATAAACTGTAGCCAGTAATGAGACAGATGATTTCTGCTTAGTAAGGTCATTGGTTTTTTTTGTTATTAAATAACAAACGTTGGTTCTTCAGGGAATGATCTATATTTTGGGTGCATTTTATTAGGGTGTTTTGTATACACTGGTGAGAACAACAACAAAAAAAAAAAAAAATGGTTTAATCATGTTTCTTCTTGATGACCATGGAGTTTCTGACAGCACTTGAAGGCAGCATCTGGAGCAGTTTCTCTGTTCAGATAAAGTTTCCAAAGTGTTTCACAACCTCTACAAACACAGAAACCAAACAACATGAACAGAGTCAGGTGTGAAATGTGTGTTTTAAAGTCTGCACAGTTTTCTTGGAAAAAATTCTCACCGTGTTTCAATTTTAAAAGCTACTTTACATATTTCTTAAATCTTGTGTGTCACTGAGCTGCTTCACTATGTACTGACATTTTGTCTCAACACTTCCAGCTGAAAACTCATGTTTGGCCTTGTGTTTGATTAGAAGGTTTAATTTGATTTAATTTAATTTTTAAATTACAAATTCAAAAAATCTGTTTTATTGATTTTAGTTTTAGTTTTTCTCCATTTTTATTTCTTGTGTGCATTTTTCTCCAGCTGTTTTTCTGTTCACATTTGAACTGTTAGTTTTAGCTAATCAGTCTCACGCATTAAATTGTTGCTTTATTATTGCTGTGTGAAACTGTAAACCACTCAACAATAATGTAACTTAGACTAAAGTTAATGCTGATTGGATTTTCACTGATCACTCAAGTTAGAGTCTGATAATTGATTGTCACATTGTTCAGAAATGAATAAAAACCAATGGAAGTGTAATGGTGGAAAAAAACACATGAACATCTAAAGAACTTTGTCTGTTTTAAATCTTCTCTCCTCTTTAGTTTCATCACATTTTCACTCCACTACATTTACCTGACATATTCAAACCTTAAATTCCTGATTGCATAAACCTCTGAAACACAATAGATTTCATAAGAAATTGTAAAGTAATTTTATTTTGAGAATTTTTTTAAACAATTAAAAGTGAAAAAGTGCAGCCGAGTGCGTTGATTTTTTTTTTAACCCAAACTCAAGACCTGCCTCTGTAGTTTGGCTTTTAATTGAATGTCATTTTGTTGTTTGTCGGTTTATTTGCGCTGTTGTACTGGTATGTCCTTTTATTCTGTTTATTTTCTGGATTGTTTTCCTTTTAATGCCCAACTTTACTTCTGGTTTTACTCACTTAAACACTTTCTCCCTTATTTTTAGTATTTTATTGTGTTATCTTTATTTTATCTCCAGATTGTTTTTTATTGTTTTTATTCTGTAAACCTCTTTGTGTTCCATTGTTTGTATGAAATTTGAAACACAAAGAAAGTCAGATTGATTCATAAAAATTCAGTTGTTTGATTTCTGTGTATCTTGATCTTAAATGGTCATTTTAATAATCTGCCTTTCAATAACTCGCTCTGTGTAACTTTGAGTGATAAAAGAGAGAACGCGTTCTCCGTCTGGACATTAAAGACAAATATAAACTGATGAACTGACCCACGTTAAAGACGGATCAAGAAAAACTGGAGCCTGAATTAGAAGAAAAACATGTTTTATTCACTCGCCGCTGTTAGAAAACCACGTTAACTCATTCACTCAGTTCACACCTGTACTGACGGCCAGGTGAGCTCACACACTCCTGCAACTGGTGTGTGTGTGTGTGTGTGTGTGTGTGTGTGTGTGTGTGTGTGTGTGTGTGTGTAGCAGAGAGAAGCTGCTGAAGCTGGAAGACTGAAGCTCACCTGGTTAATGTTATTATTGCAGGTAAATCTGAGGCGTGTTAAATGTCGATGTTTAAACTCTTTTAAATGAATATTCACATTTAGACAATAAAAGTCCTTTATAACTAAACTTACATTATTTAAACCAACTGCAGAAAACACGAGCAGTCTGATTTTACCATGTTGTAGTGTTGTTAAGCTAAAGTGCTATTGAAAGCTAAACTGTCCCTTACAGGCTACCATACGACTATCTCATGATTTGTCGTCTTACTAGAAAAATAAAATCATCTCTTCCTTCCAGCTCTTCTGTTACTGACATTCATTTAGGGGTCAAACACGATGAGTCAAGTGTGACCTTTGACCCCTGACCTCCTTTTGATATCGGTGACACAGGAAAAGAAGCTTATTCTATTCCCAACATCAGATTGTACATCCAAATGACAGATATTTCAAAATAAAAGTCTGGAGTGGCTGAATGTTCCCTCTCATTGACACACCTGATCACACAGCTCGGACAGGTGGACTGCTGCCGTTTGTTTCATTGTAGTTGTGGCACCAGGTGGGTGGAGTTTAGAGAGAGTAGAAATTGACCAGCCTCGCTGTCACCCACCCACCTGGCACCACCTGGTTGGTAAAATAAACACACACACCCACTTCAAGGGGAGTTCAGAGTTGAGTAACTCAAAACTGCAGAAATGTGTCGGGTCTGAACCGGTTCGTACATGAGACACCGGCAGCGGTCCAGAGGTCTGGAATCAGCCTGACGACACTACAAGGTCCAATTAATTAAAGTTTATAATTCTCTTTTTCTCTTAACTAAAACTTTTTCCAACTTTAATCTCAACATTTCACCTTTTCACAAAGTTACTTCCCCCCTGTGGCTCTAATTCACTTCCACACTAGTCTTGAGTTTATCATTCAGTTTTATATTAAAGCTCCTCCAGTGTAAAGGTCTCTGTCCATGTGTAGTGTGATTATAGATCAGCTCTAGCTTCTATATTAATACTGTGAAAGTATCAAAGCCTCAGTCCACAGAGAAATGCACACAGCCTGTATTCAGAAACTGAGCCTTAAAACCAGCCGTCAGGACTTCTGGAACTTTGTGATGTCACAACAAAGCAGTCACCAAGCCCCGCCCACCTGGACCCACCATCCAAACCTTGCAGGATTTAGTTTCTCTGAGTGTTTTACCTGAAATCTGCTATATTTTTATTGGATCACTCAGAAAACAGTCAGCCAATCAGAAGAGAGGCTCAGAGACTCCTGTCTTCTGATTGGCTCACAGACCTGCTGTTACTAGTGTTCCAGAGAGAAGCCTGAGAGAGGAGATGTAAAACTACACTGAGATGGTTTTTATATCTTCTGATGGATCAACACTTCAAATAAAACACAGAAGAAGAAAATATGGAGCTTTAAACTTTGTCATGTATCATGTTTCCAAAACACGACACATCCACTTCTGGAAAAATAAAACTCAAGTTCATCTTTCAAACATTCAAACTTCCCTGTTTAGTAAAACAAACGCCACGTTCCTTCCTGTTTGTTAAAATCATTGATCTGGTCTCAGTGTGACGGAGCTGAAAACTTTGATCTGTCAGTGAGTTGAGCTGATAAATCGAAGTTCTTCACATTCTCTGGATTCTCAGAAGAACTAGAACAGAATAACACGTTAAAATAAAACATAAAAAATAGGTGATAAGATCATTAAAACTGATGATTTTCATCCTAAAAAAACGAAACTCGTCATCGTCATCTCCTGTGGAAGAACTTACGATTTAAGATTTACAGCTTTCTGAACTGATCAGGATCAGGATCAGGATCAGGATCAGGATCAGGTTCCTCATACTCGTCATGTCTGATATGAAATAAGACCTAAAGTTAAAACAGTTTCCTATTACCTGCTGCAGGTAAACATCCTTCCTTACACTGAGCAACAGAAGAACTGATGATGTAAAAACTGAAGCAGAGTTTTCTGGTTCCAGCTTCTCTAACGTGACGTGGTCTGGTTTCCTGTCTTCACGTTAACTGAACTCTCTGGTCTCTGGACTGTTGTTCAGACACAGGCAGACTCTGAACTGATGATTTTAATTGTAAGCTGTGGCCCCTGAACGCAACATTTATCCTCTGTCTGAACAACAGCTGAGTCACACAGAAATTCAGTCTGTAAATCCTGTCAGACTGGAGAAGCTGAAGCTGCAGAACATCACGTTGTATATCTGATCAATAACTTTGATGGATTAATCAGTTGTTATAATTGTTATTGATTAAGCTGAAGGTTCGTTCTTGACGTCAGAAACAGCAGCGTTTCAGATTCAGAAAAAATTCTTTTGCCAAAAGATGAACCAACTGTTTCAGGTGGAGGATGAAGCTGCGTTCAAGGACACGCAGACGTGATATGTGAAATCATTACGCCTCAATGATATGATGTGTGATTTAGTGACGTGCAGCGTGGAGTGTTTGGAAGTTTATGATCGTCGCCCTGAACAACAGAAGATCCTCTTCTCTTTAGTGAAAGAGGAAATGATGTCATAACAGTTGTTTTTCCTGCAGGTTAGCGATACGCCCAATTGACTTCATGCAGTAGCATTTGTCCCGGGGGACAGTGAACGCAGCACGGGCTCCAGGAGATCGACCTCGGTGCTGCTGATCTGCGGTCGGCTCATCTCACAGGAAGTTGGTTTTGAGTGTGATGCTGGGGGAGGACTTGGCGGCGCTGCGGGTGGCAGGGTTAGCGCCACTAGCTTTAGCATTCAGGCTCTCCTGGTTTCCCTTGACGGCGGCTTCCAGACGAGACTTGAGGTGAGGAGACGACGCAATGAGAGACCTGGGGGGGGGGTATTCAGGTCATAGTGTATTCATACTTGAAGTCACACACACACACACACACACACACACACACACACACACACACACACACAGACACAAACACAAACACAAACACAAACACACACACACACACACACACACAAACACAAACACACACACACACACACACACACTCTACCCAGAGGCAGATTAGTGTGTGATGTGTACCTGAAGACGGCCGAGTGCTGGGGGCCGAGACGCATCAGGTCCTTGAGCGCCGCCTCATGGAGAGACCGGGACGCTGCAGGGGCCGAGCCGAGGGCGTTTTCATCCAGGAGGAAGGAGATGAGCAGAGGAAGCAAGATGGCTGCCAGCTGAGGGCCTGAGGTCCCACACAGAGACAGACGTTTGTTATTTACATCTCTTTTCTTTATTTCCCACTGTGAGTCACAGGCGCTGGGACCATTAAAGTGACCTGTGACTGTGTTCTACTGCGTTCTACTGCGTTCTGCTCCTGACTCTACTCACGCTGGGACTCGTCAGCAGCCTGGACCAGAGCCTCCAGGGCTCGGACCCCCTCCAGGACTCCCAGCAGCTCCTCTGGACTCTGAGGTCGACTCCTCTCTGCCCTCTGAGGAGGAGTCACATGAGACCATGAACACATCGTCTAATCAATACAATTGTCCTTAAACACTCAGAGTTCAGGTCAGTCCTGTGTGGTGCGCCTGCCAGTTCTGGTTCAGTACCTGGAGGAATCGAACCAGCGGCGGGCCGAGGGCCTGGATGTACGGGACGGCTACGGCGGGCTGAGCCTGAAACACCGACGTCATCAGCTGATAACAGCGACTCACAACCTGCAGGAGGAAAGAGATTTACTGTCGTTCCTCCCGAGTTCACAACTGAAAACTCCCACAGAGGTCTATCATTTCATTTCCTCATGCTGGGCCTCCTGGTGAAGGTGGGCCTCCTGGTGAAGGTGGGCCTCCTGGTGAAGGCGGGCCTCCTGGTGAAGGCGGGCCTCCTGGGGAAGGTGGGTATTGTTGCTGACCATGTTCTCCCGTTCATGCTGCTTCCAGTGTCAGTGTGGTGTTCCTAATAAAGTGCTCACACTCATTCTCTCTCTGTGTGATACTGACCATCGAGTCTTTGGCGTCCATACTGGTGGTGAAGCGCTGCACACAGAGCGCGTGCAGAGGCTCTAGCGTACAGACGTCAGGACCAGCAGACAGCAGGAAGACGGTCAGAGCTGTGAGGAGGCTGATCTGGTCCACAACACAGCCAGAGTCCCCTGGAAACACACACACAAACACACACCATTTACCAATAACAAATGAATGATTGCAGTGTGTGTGTGTGCGTGTGTGTGTGTGTGTGTGTGTGTGTGTGTGTGTGTGTACCAGTGTCCCAGAGCCCCAGCAGTGTGTTCAGAGCTGATCTCAGCAGCAGGTTCCAGGCTCCTCGACTCTTCTCTTGTCGACTCATCGGAGACGTCAGGACGGACTTCAGAGCCTGAAGAGCCGCCTGGACCACCACACCCAGACAAGCCCCGCCCCCTGAGCCTGCGGCTGGGACACCTGGAGGTCGAGATGTTAAAGGAGGAAGTTTAACTAAAGTCGTTTATTTTATTATTTTCATGTTTTAACTGGTTTTCTCCTCCACTTCCTCTCATCGTTACCTTTTATCTTTCTAAATTATTATTAAACTTTTTAAAAATGGTTATTGTTTTCATTTTTTCTATTATATATGTTAAGAAGTTGTTGGATCTCTACTGTTTTTGTTCTCGTTATTATTCTTTCTTATTGTTTTTCTCGGCTAAAAGTGTCAAAAAACTACGAGAGAGAAACTGGTTTCAAATTCAAATGTTTAGTTTTCTGTTTGTTTTCTCAGTCGCTGACGTTCTTGTTATAAACTGCTTTCTTCTGATTTTCCCTGATAACTGTGAGTGTGTGTGTGTGTGTGTGTGTGGTACCTGTGTGTGTGACGGGCAGGTGGACCAGCTCTCTGAGGACTCCCAGCAGCAGGTAGAGGACAGTGGGGAGGATGGACACGCTGCCTGCAGGAGGACGGACCAATCAGAGAGCTCCTGTTATTTATTTATCTATTTATTCTCAAACAGGAAATGAAATGTCGTCATTACTTCTTTAATGTGACGTATTTGGACGGATCAGTTACTGAATGAGAGCGGATCCGTTTGGAGCAGTGAGTGAAGAAGTGTGTTGACACATGATGAAGTTACAGGAGCCTCATACTTCTATTAAAGTTTTATAAGATCTGCCTCCTTCAGTCTGACACCTGGTTCTGTCCAACTCTTTCTGTAGTTCTGGGACCTGGTCTGAGTCTAAACCTCTGATTCCAAAATTCAGCCTGGAGTTTTCTGGATTCTGACCTGGATCAAACTAGAATTCAAATCAAGCTCTAGAGTCTTGAATCTGGCCCGGACTCTTCTGGACTTCTGTCTGAATTCTAGCCTGGATTCGATTCAGGAACCCTACCTGGACTTTAGGATCCCAGTCTGGATTATTGTCTAGCCTTGGATTCTGGTCTGAACTCCAAACTGGATTCTGGTTTGGAATCTGGTCCTGAATTTTAGCCTGGATTCTGATGTGATTTCAGTTCAGGAATATGGCCTGGACTCTGGATTCTGGTCTGAGTTCTGGTCTGTATTTTGCTCTGGGTTGTGGTCTACAGTATATTCTGGTCTGGATTCTGTCCCTCATTCTGGTCTATGTTCTGGAATCTCCTCTGGATTCTGGTCTAGATATGTTTTGAGGTTATGGGTCTCGGATCAGGAACGTGGCCTGGACTCCCGCCTTACCTTCGGGGGAGCAGACGGACGGCAGCTCAGACAGGACACACAGAGCCGACGCCACCAGCCGACAGTCGCTGTCCGTCAGACTCCACACTGAACCTCCAGGACCTGAACACACACACACACACACACACACACACAATGTTTCAGCTCTTCATCTTTTCTCCTCTTCCTCGTGCTGCCTCCTCCTCCCAGTGACCCCCCCCCTCATACCAGTTGGACTGGTTCCGGCCAGTTTGGGGCTGAGCTGTGGGAGTTTCCGGACCAGTACACAGAGGCAGAGCTCCAGCGCTCCGAACACCAGCGAGCGTCCAGGAATCAAACCGCCGGTGTCCCGTCCCTCCCCGAACTCTGGCAGCGTCTCCTTCTCCGCCGCGCCGTCATCCACTGTGGAGCAATAAAGTTTTACACGGCGTCAGTCGGTCACACGTGAATCCGGGTCACGATGTGAACTCGTACTGGAGCACAGAGTCAAACAGGAAGACGACGATGTAAAACATATACACCAGATGTAGCTATATATCTCCTGTCTGTACAACTACAGTCACCTCCTCGTGGTCGTATCCCTCCGCCACTCGGACTAGTTCCAGGTCACATCCCTGTTTATCCAGAGTCATTAAATACGAACCACGTGTGAAATTGTGTCATAATTTCTGTGTGAAATCTTGAGTAATGGCTAAAATGTGTATTGTGACCTTTGACCTTTGACTCCCAAAATCTAATCAGCTCCTCCTTGACTCCTAGTGGACACTTGAGCCAAATTTGAATTAGTTCCAAAAAGGCGTTACTGAGATATCGTGTCCACGAGAATGAGACGGACAAATAGACAACCTGAAAACAAAATGGCTGCTGCTCTGACTGTCGGCGGGCGGAGGAACCACGAGACGAGCTGGTCTTGAGCCAGTGAATCAACACTAACCCCCCCCCCCCCCCCCCTGATCTGGTCTCTTGTTTGTGCGTTTACCCTCGGCGCTGTGGCGTTTCTCCCTCACGTGCTCCTGAGCAGCCGCCACAATCTGTCGCAGCAGATCCAACACGGCGAGCTGAACGGACGCCGACTCTCTGGTCACCATGAGTCTGTGGAGGACGCTGAGCAGCTCCACACTCAGAGCCTGGGGCAGAGCCTGGGGGGGGTCACCGTGAGACTTCAACTCAAACAGGAAGTAAAAATACAAACATGACGTTGCTTCAGTCGACACGTGGTTCTGTCCAACTCATCTAAACTCTGACTCTTAGCCTGAAGTTGGTTCTGGATTCTGAACTGGATCAAGTCTTGAATCTGGACCGGACTCTTCTGGATTCTATTCAGGAACCCTACCTGGACTTTAGGATACCGGACCGGATTACTGTCTCTAATGTGGATTTAGTTCTAGCTTTGAATGTGATCTGAACAATCTGGATTCTGGTTTGGAATCTGGTCTTGAATTAAAGCCTGGATTCTGATGTGGTTCAGGACTCTGGTCTGGACTCTGGATTGTGGTCTACAGTACATCCTGGTCTGGATTCCGGCTCCGCTGCGTCTCACCTGGTCGTTTCCGATCTTGGCTCGGGGCCAGGAGACGTCGAGCAGCGCCCGCAGCGCTCGCAGACACGACGTGATGTTCTCCATCTGGTCGTGGGAGTGCAGAGAACACAGGAACTCCACGCTGATCCCTGTGAGGTCACACAACTCGCTTTACTGGGACTGAACTGGAACCTGCTTTCACTTCCATTGAAACCAGTTTCCTACCCAGTATGAGGTGCAGTCTGTCGGCGTTGACGTCCTCCGGACTCTTGGCTCCGCCCACTGAGTCAGTCTGTCCCATGGAGGTGGGCGTGGCCGGTCTGGACAGGTTGGCAGGTGTGTCGTCTGACATCACAAAACCTGAGGCACACACCTGACTGTTTAACACCTGTCCATGTTGGCAGGGAGGAGGAGGAGGAGGAGGAGGAGGAGGAGGACTGAGAAGAAGAAGGAGGAAGAGGAGGAAGAGTGAGAAGAAAAAGAAGGAAGAGGAGGAGGAGGAGAAGAAGAAGGAGAAGAAGAAGAAGGAGAAGGAGGAAGAGGAGGAGGAGGAGGAGGAGAAGAAGAAGAAGAAGAAGAAGAAGGAGAAGGAGGAAGAGGAGGAGGAGGGAGAAGAAGAAGGAGGAAGAGGAGGAGAAGAAGAAGAAGAAGAAGGAGAAGGAGGAAGAGGAGGAGGAGGGAGAAGAAGAAGGAGGAAGAGGAGGAGGCGGAGGAGGAGGAGGAGGAGGAGTGAGGAGAAGAAGAAGAAGAAGAAAAAGGAGAAGGAGGAAGAGGAGGAGGAGGAGGAGTGCTGACCTGTGCTGTGCAGCCAGAGGGAGGTGGCGTGGAGGACGGGAGCCCAGGAGGAGGAGTAGTGAGCTCTGGCCTGGTTCACGGTCTCTGCTGTGTAGAAGGAGCCTCCTGGAGGAGGAGGAGGAGAAAACAAAATGGCTGCAGTCGTGATCTCACAGTGACTGTGAATAATAAAATGATCAGACTCTGATATTTACAACATATTGATGGTTTCACTTCCTCATTGGGAACGAGGGTGGAAAGAATCAGAAACATCAGTTTAAATGTTCTTCACTAATTTACCTGAAAACTCTCTAATGTCAAAATGTCAATGAACTGTTAAAATGAAAAGTTAAACAACAACTTGTACAAACAAATGTCACAGCTCAACAGGTCCAACAGGAAGCCCCTCCTCCCCCCGGGCGTCCCACCTGTCGCAGGTAGCTGTGGTGCGTACTCCTGTGGCAGAGTCAGCAGGGCGTAGTCCTGCAGCGCCGCCAACCACAGACGACTCAGCGTCGACAAATCTGATTGGACCAACTTCAGGAGGCCCGCCCCTCCTGACTCAGAGCTCGAGCTGTCATTGGCCAGAGAGGAGACTGACAGGTCGGCCGTCCTCCCAGGGCTCTCCTTCTGTCTGCTCCTCTGAACGGCCACGATGTAAACCTGAGACACACGAAATCACTTCAGATCAATTCTACAAACGAGCTGCTGCTTCTCGAACCTCTGGAACTTTTCAACAAACATTTAAACCAGGTATTACAGGTTTCAAAAGAAGTCAGAGACAGAGACAAGTATTTTTGGGAAATAATTATTCTTTTATAAGTTATTATCTTGTTTCCATGAGTTATAATCTTGTTTATAGAATAATATCTTCTTTCTTCTTTCTGTCTTTCAGTTATTATCTTGTTTCTTCTTCTCAATCATCTACTGAGAGTTTTCACCGCATAAAAAAAATAATTAAATCATCACAACAAAAATGACTAAGACCGACCTCGGCCCAGGCCTTGAGGACGGCCAGTGTTTCCATGGTAGCTGTGGCCTCGTTGTACAGCTGGCTGGACGTGTCACTCCCGACCTGGACTTTAGCCAATGAGGAGGCCAGGAGCTGATGGACACGTCGGAGGTCACGGAGGTCACTGACGACACCGCTGGCAATCCAGGCGCTGCAGACCTGGAGAGGAGAGGACGGGGTCAAAGGTTAAAGCAGATTACAGTGGGATCATTTTCATTGTCTCAGCAGCCAATCAGATGTTCAGAGTCTAACAGTCCAGGTGATTGGTAACCTGCAGGATTTACCTCAGATAATCTGGATTCTAACAGTAATCTGTCAATCAGGATCAGTAAAGTTATTGATGATTGATCACCTGGCAGGCCTTCGCAGTGACATCAGGAGGAGCGTCAGCAGTGAAGGCTGGTCTGAGAGCAGCTCCAACCTTCAAACACACACACACACACACACACACACACACACACACACACACAGTCTATGAACTGCACTAATCAAAGATCTTCTAGCTGAAGGAGATTTCAGTGTTTAATGCAGCTTTACAGTCGAGTCACCAGAGCTGTGAAACTAGTTTCTCACAGTTCTCGAGACCAAACTGAGATCAAGATAAATCCACAGCCTCCTCTGCTTCAGCATCATGAACCGTTTTCATTCTGCAACATGTATTTTTTTTTAAAGTTGAGCCTGTTGAGCCTCTGGATCCGTGTAAAGAGCTTGAGAGGGAGCGCCGTTATCCCCCGACACCTCCCCCAAAGAAACGTTCAAACTCTGTAAAAACCTGAATGTATTTTTACTGGCGCTGGTAAAACACAACAGGAACATTCAGGGAGAAGCTGTTATTCATAGTTCGAGACTTTACATATAAATTTGTCTGTTCACCATCTTTGTCTCGAGGACAAATTAACACTGTAGAACCAACTACAACTCCCCGAATCATCAGTCCATTAACAGAAAACTAAATAATAATAATAACAACAATAACAATAATGACCAACAAATAAACAGATTAATCAATAGTGAAAATAATCATAGCCAATCAGGAAACAGCTGCTACAAGCAGTTCACACTACGCTGTGTTGTGACGGACGGGTCCTCACATTTGCCTGGTACTGCTCCAGGATCACGTGACCGGGGAACTCCGGTTCGGGGATGGCTGAGAAGCGCCTGATGATGACCAGCAGGGTCTGAAGACCCGCCAGCCTCAGCTGGTCACTGTGATCTGTAGCCGCCATGAACGCCATTCGGACCAGGTCACCAAGATGAAGAACGAGGAAGTCTGAGGAGAGACAGGTGAAAGGTCACTGAGATGTGAGGCGTCCAGCAGCACAGGCTGACCCGGGTCAGGGCGGGGGTCTTACCGGTGGACTCGTGCAGGCGTCGCTCCTGAGCCAGAGTCATGTCGAAGTGAGCCGGGTCGGCGGTTTCACACTGCGCGATGATGCGACACACACACTCCATGGCGAAGCGGCGCGTGGCCCAACGCAGGGCCGTGAACGGGCCGCCGGACTCGGGCCGGGCTCTGAAAGCAGAGGAGTCATCGTCTCTGCTGGAGTCCGCCTCCTCTTCATCCTGACTCGCCTCCACTGGAGCCCGACAGTCTGAGGAGAGTCAGAGTGAAAGTTGTAAACTCAAGGTCCACTTACTTGGTTTCTCCAGAGCTTTAAACAGCTTCTCAGGATCTTCATCATTCACATGTATGATCTGCAATAAACCTTCCCAAACTTAGGTCAGAAGATGGCAACTAGTGAGTTCATCTGCTGATGAAAACCTCAAGATGTGGTTAAAAGCTCCAGAAAAATCTCGTAAATTGACCATGAGTTAAGATTTGAACAAATGCGTCAAAATGAAAACGTACAACTCACAAATGTGACGTTTCTAAAGCTCATTTAAAAAAAGGTTGAAAGGAAATGTAATTTAAAAAATAGAATTTGAATCTGTTTATTCATTAATCAGATCAAATAAAATGTTTTTGGTCAATAATATTTTGAAAAGTTGATAATATTGTATAATATAATATAATATAGCATATCTCTCATAAACCTCTATCTACTGTGAATACTGTGTTGTGGTGATTAATGCAGCATCGTGATCCGTCTGGACTCAGCAACAAAACATTTTAGTATCATTAGACACCAATTAACTTCTTTACTAATTAAATTATTGATTATCTGTTTAATAAAGTATCTAGTGTAAAACTATTTTGATATCAAGTGGTTAAAACTGGTGACGGACGGTTCAGCCCACCGGTGGTTGCAGACAGGACGTCTTTGCAGAGTTTGAGCCAGTGTCCCAGTTTCCCACTGGTGGCGCTGGACGTCATCATGTGGACCAGAGTCTCCTGGATGTCCCTCCTCAGACCTGGATCTGACTCCCGGTCCAGCAGAGTGAACAGAGCTCCTTCCAGACCCACTTCCTTTATAGTGACGTCTGCTCAGAGACAGAGGAGGGTCGGGGTGAAGTGGTGACGTGTATTGTGTTTTCACCACTGGAGTGTGTGTGAGTGTGTGTGAGTCTCACCGAGTTGTGTGTTGTCTCGTCTCGGCAGCTCTTTGACCAGAGTCACTGCGTGCTCAGAGACCTCCAGCGCCTCCCGCTGGACGAGCTGCCGCAGACACGCCACCACGGCCCGACGGAGACACAGGTACGAGCTGCACAGGTTGGCCTGCAAAACACACACACACACACACACACACACACACACACACACACACACACACACACAGTTTATACCTGGACATCAGATGTGATCAGGTTTGAGGTTTATCAGAGGAGGCATGCAGCTACAGACAGTGTTTCCTCCAGACTCAGACAATAAACACTGTTTACTTTAACTTACAGATACTGATCAATACTGATCAATACTGATCAATCTGACACTTATTTTCTCTAATAATCTGCAAAATGTCAGATGACGAGTTCCCGGAGCTCAGAGCTCACAGTGACGTCCTCACGTCCTTTGTCCAACCCGCAGGATCATTTCTCACCTGGAACCAGGAAGTATTTGAGATTTTTGCTTAAAAATTATAAAATAAATTTTTATTTAAATTTATATTTAATGTCAAATAACTAATCTAATGAACTGATTAATATTCTGTCTAATGTCTCTGAGCAGCAACTTAAAAACCCTCCGTGTGAAGTTTTATCAGCTGTACGATCGATCACAGATTAATCAATCAAATATAAACAGCGATAATAATCAGATGAGCTTTTTCCAGAGGAAACACTGAGTAGTTTCACTGTGAGAGGATGCTGTGAGGTGTGCAACAGGAATGGTGCCGGTGTTATTGAGTTAGCTGCACAATGTGAAAGTAAATTAGGTGAAACACACGATGAAGGAAACTGTTAAAAAGCTGCCGACATGTTTCATAACAACAGACAAAAAAAAACTCTCAACATCCATATTCATGACAGTTATAAATGAAGTCTCAGTTTCTCAGAGTCTGAAAAATGTGAATGTTAAAAAAGTGTGAATGATGAGTGAAGCAGATGGTGAAGCCGAGGTTTGTTTTCTGATCTGAGGTCAGACTGTGATCTGCGGCTCTCTGGGTGTTTCATTACACGCTGCAGGTGAAACTCGGTCCCGTCTGTTTCAGACTTTCAGTTTCAGACTCATCTGCTGTTTTTCTAATGTAAATAATTAAATCATAAAAAATAAAACATTTGAAAAAAACGAACAGATTCACAGATTAAGTTACGGTCAAAATGGTTTTCCTACATACGACGTCACAGCCTCACCTTATGTTGGTTAATGAACTTACTGGATCATCTCCCAACATGTTAATACCTTGGTTAATATACATCCTTTTTTTGGATTGTTAAATAGTTATGGAAACAGGATGTTGAGAAGGGAAGAGTTCCTGCTGTTCACTTCCTGCACACTTCTAATACTTCTATTACTTTAACTGTGAGGCTGTTTCTCTGTAATTGATGAAATGTTCTCAATGATCCTTTAAAGGTTCTGTAAACGAGATCTGAAACAACAGTTTTCTCTGTAAAGACATAGTGGAGTAATGGCGTCCTGAGCAGAGAACGAAGCCACACCCCCTCTGAGTGTGATGTAATCTGAGTTTCTCTGGCCCTGGTTTTAGTAACGTGTGCATGTTAGTGCATGTGAGCCTGTCCTGTTAAACCATTGATCCACCTGATGTTTATAAACACACAGGCTCCACCTACAGGTGAGATGACACAGTGCAGCGTTCAGGTAAAAGTGACCTTCCAGAATTTCCACCACTGAAGAAGAAACCACGTCTTCATCTAAAAAGTCCTCAGACAAAGAAAGAGACGAGACCAGAGCTCAGGTGGACTGGACTGAGGACTACCTGCTCAGATCCTGGTCGGCCGGTGGACCGTCAAAATGTCCATACAGTTTTTTAAGTCTTTACAGGCTCCATCAGTGTCATCGGTGCGGCCAGTCCCAGCTGATCATTCCAAGGCTGAATTTATTCCCCAGTCCGACCGTGGAGCTGATACTGGTCTGGTTTACAGAGAGGAGAACCCTACAAGCTGCTAAAGGCTCCAGCTGGACAAGGGATGGGAATCGAGAACCGGTTCCAACTGGTTCTATCCATCAGCATCATTTGCCTTTATGCTTAATGATTCCCTTAAGTCTTATCAATCCCCATCCCTAATTCTCCTCCATGTGTCAGTAACTTGATGCTTCATAATGTCACGTCTGTTTTCATTAGTGACAGCTACAGTAGACATGCTAATGTTAGCTAACTTCCTGTTACACATATTATGAACGTTGCTATCGCTAGCTGGCTAACTGTCAGCATTGCTGTGGAGCACATCACAGCAGTGCTACTTGTAGTTAGGTTGCTTTTTGTTGTCTCTTGTGTTGTTGTGTGTGTTTAGTGACACGTTCACTGAGCTTCGTAACGGGGGGGGGGGGGGCTCTAGTGCGACATCTAGAGGCAGTGACAATCGTTTGCAGAACCTTTAAATAAAGAACTGAAAAAAAAACAAACAAAAAAAACATGTTTATGTTCCCCAGTTTGACTCCACGGCAACAGAAAACTCAGAAAAGTGTTGAGGGAGTAAAAGAAAAGAGAGAGAAGCAGAACAGAGACAAGCAGCAGCTTCAGGCCTGAGAGAGACCTACCAACATGGAATAATCCAACAAGATCTCCTGTAAGACACAAGACAGGGTCAAAACACACACACTTCAACCCTCCTTTTTTTATTATTTGTGGTGTGTGTTGTTGTGATGTCATGGCGCCAGCAGAGGGAGATGATGGGACACGACCACACGGACAGGCAGCGTGTTTCAGGTGTACTCACACAGAGGGCAGGTACGAGGTTGGCCAGGTTGACGTGCGGAGGTGAGAACATGTGCAACTGCTGCAGACAGGAAATGGCTCTGGCCTGGACCAGACAGTCGGGACTGGCCTGCATCACTCCACATCCCACCAGGCAGCTGGAGCGCAGACCGGACACCGCCGCGCCATCACCTGACAAACACACACACACACACACACACACTGACTCAGAGACTTCCTGACATCTCCTCTGTTGCTGTGTCCTCAGGTGTGGTGGGGGCCGTACCCTGCAGGTCGGGGCCCAGGCAGGTGATGAGGGCGTGCAGGCAGCGTCCCAGGCTGTAGTGAACCTCGGGGTGGGTGGGCGGAGCCGACAGCAGCAGCCGGAGCACCAGTGTGAAGGACGGCTCGGCGTGGGTGCGATACAGACCGCCGGACAGATCGACCACCAGGGACAGACTGTGGAGGGACCAGGTCTGGACCCGACGGAGGGACAGCAGAGTTAGGATCAGGTCCAAACCACAGCAGCTGAATCACCTCACTGGCTGATCCTCACAAACATGACTGTATATATGTAGAGTCCATACCTGGACCTCAGGTGAGGTGCTGTCCTGGCTCAGGGTGAACAGGACTCCCAGGCAAGTGGACAGGTGCTGGGGTGAGCTGATTCCTCCGGTGTAGCGGTACAGCGCCCCCAGAGCCAGAGCGTAGCCACTGCGAGACGCTGCGTCCCGAGCCGTCTTCAGCCTGAACACAGGGACCAGCAGTCAGCAGCAGCAGCGGTGGTTGTAGGTGTGGTAGTTTTAACCACCAGTGCAGGTTAATCTGTCACTCAAAGTGCCGCCGCTCACACTTCCTCCTCAAATGATGTTGTTTGTCTTTATTTGTTCTCTGCTGCTGTGTCTTTAAGGTTTCATGCAGATGATCGATGCTTTTATTACTTCACTTATATCCTCTTAATGACATTGTGTCATATTCATTGTCGATGAGATCGCCCCTCGTAAGTCTGTGACCTTTGAACTTTAGCCACTAAAATCTAATCAGTACATCTTTGAGTCTGAGCGAATGTTTTTGCCAAATCTGAAGAAGTTCCGTCGAGGCGTCACTGACACATCGTGTCCACGAGAATGAGACGTACAGACGGACGGACAACCTGAAAACAAGATGGCCGCTGCTCTGACTGTCGGGGCGCGGAGGAATGAAAAAGCTTGGATTATTTCTTATCTCATCGTTGGTCTAATGAAGGCGAGGTGACGTCGTCCGGCTCCAGATGATGACACTGATTTTATTTTGTGTCGGGAGGATTTTAGATCAGAGTGTCACCGACTCACCAGTTCAAACACACTGAGATATATCTGGATCCTGTTCTCACGGTTATTTAAAACTCTTTTTGAACTATTTCTGGTTCATCATGTCGCTCTCCTCTGTCTCTGTTTGTGCTGATTTGTTTTCGCTGTTCTTATTTTAACATCAAAGCCACAATCTTTGAAGCGTTAACATCTGAATACTCCAGGAAGTGTTGCTGTCAAACCGCTGGAAGACGACAGAAGTCTGGTGGAAGAATTTAAACGCGTTTATCTCAAGAGAAAACGAGAAACGATGAGTTTTTGTGGTTTGGATTTTCTCCATTCTCACGCTGATATTTACTGTGTGATGACGAACTGGACAAAAATGAAAAAGATTCCAGCCGTGACACACGTTCGTCTTCTCTTTCACTTTATTTGTGTTCAGAGTAAAACACGTGTTGAACTTCTCTTTAACACTCACCTGTAATGTCCCTTTGTCACCTGATTTCTTTTTTTTTAAAAATATTTCATGGTTTTTATTTTAACTTAAGGAAAGGGGGGGTGTATTATGTAATTTATTTATGATTTCAATTTAGTTCTAATCCTTCGTAGGGACAAAAAAACAAACAAACAAAAGCAATAAAATTTAGCCTTCAACGACACGTCTCACTAAGACTTGTGGAGACGGAGCAAAAACAGCTGAAGGTTCACGGCTAATTAATTAAAAATTAAATAAAATAAACATAAACGCCGCTGTCTGTCCTCGACTCAGCGCCAACGTCCACCCACCTGTCGAAGCAGAGCAGGGAGACGGAGACGGTGAAGCCGGGGTCTCCGACCACCTGAACCAGCCGGGCCAGACCTTCAACAGCCAGGCAGCGCAGCAGAGGACTGACGCTCTCCAGCGCCCCCGACAGGAGGGACAGTGCCGGGGAACGGATCTCCTCTGGCCCCAGGAAGCCCCGAACGCTGCCCTGGCTCTGAGGAGGAGCAGGAGGAGGTTTGGTTTTTCTTAGGTGGTGCAAATTTAACGTATAAAGTGAGAATATGTCAGAGGTTTATGACTGTCAGCTTGGGGCAGAGTCCTACTGCCCCCCAGTGGACAGACAATACAACTGCACAGATTAACACAGACATTATGATACAAAAGTGACAACCAGGAGTGAACAGACCATCTGCAATTAGAAACACATAATATCCTGCACTTGTTCTCCACACACACACACGCACACCAGCTGACAGGTGTAGTACCTTGAGCAGACTGCAGAGGGCAGCACAGACGTGTGTCTGGACGGTCTGCTGCCGTTGACCCTTCAGCTGGTTCACGGTTTCTACAAACTGCTCCAGGATCTTCACTCTGACAGAGACACAGACTCTCAACCACATTACACTATACTGCAGACAGTATCATATACAATACAATAAACATCTATAACATGTAGAAATCTACAGAAGTGTCTGCAGATTATATTATGGGATTATTATTGGTGATCCATTAACGTGTAAGCAGCATTTTTAATGTTGTAGCTGATGGAGAAAATTCAACAGTGTCATCTACTGTTGGAGAGTTCAGTCTGTGACGACGCTTCATATTTGTTGATCCATCACAAGATATAAAAACCATCTCAGTGTAGTTTTACATCTCTCTTCTCTCTAGAACTGAACTCTAGTAACAACAGGTGGGTGAGCCAATCAGAAGAGAGGAGGCTCTCTCTCACTAAAGGTAACACTTTATTGGCCCTGTACTAGTGACGGCGGGTCGGTCACCTCTGAGCGGAGATGATGTGGGGGAAGAGAGCTCCAAAGAGACGGACGGCGGCGGCGGTCAGAGCGACGGGGGGAGGAAGAGGAGCGGGAGCTTCATCACTCCTCTCACACAGACTGAAGGGGTCGTTGTCCAGAGAGCCCCCCCCCACACTGCTGCCGTGGAGCTGCAGCACAAACACACTGGTTCTTATTCCTCTGCAGTGAACAGTTTGTGTGTAAGTGTGGAGGACAGAGCGTCACCTGTTCCTCGATGTATCTGTGGTCCGTGTCGTGGAGGGCGGGGCCGACCAGCAGCAGGTCGTCGTGGTGACAGAGGGGGGGCAGCAGGGTGAGGTCTGAGCACGGCTGGTTCAGGTTGTCCTGACCGGACAGATCCGTCACCAGCTGGTTCATCACCAGACCAAAACTCTCTGCAGGAGGAGGGGCGGGTGGAGACAGAGGGCAGAGGTCATCATTTAGGAGCAGAGCTGAAGTGATTGGTCGATTAATCAATTAATTAACTAACGAATATTTTGACGCAAAATGCAACAAATTTGATGAGTTCAGCTTCAACATGACGATTTGTTTCTTTTGTGTTTCAATGACTCATTTGGGATTTCACAAAACAAAAAGGTGAAGATTTAATTTTAAACATTTGAAGGACATAATAAAAAAAAAAAAAAGGAACACACACAAGGAGGGAAGCAAAATGAAAGAAGAAAGAAACATGACGAGGAAGAAAAGTAAATATGAAGGAAGGAAAGAGATGAAAAGAAGAAAGAAGAGGTAACGGGGACAGGACAGAGGGAAGGAGTGACACAAATGGAAAGAGGGAAAGAAAAGAAAGAACAGAAATCTGTTTAAATGTGTTGGATGGGATCAAGAGATGAAGGAGAGAGAAGAAAGAAGAACGAGTGTTAGAGGAAGGAAAGGATTAAGGACAGAGTGAAGGAGGTGTGTCGTCACCTTGGTAGGTGTGTGGAGGCAGCAGAGCGAGAAGCTCGTAGACTCTCAGTCTGTAGACGAGCGACCAGCTGCGAACAGAACTGCTGTACGACCTGAGGAGAGCAGGCAACCTGAGCCCCACACACACACACACACACACACACACACACACACACACACACACACAGAGAGAAGGAAATGCAGTACATAAACATAAATAATTTTTATTTTGTCAATAACAATAATAATCATTAAAATGATAATTACGATAATAATGATTTCATGTCTTCCACGCAGAGTCCAACACTTTACCTACAACACTGTGTCTGAAATGAAAATTAACAGCTGGGACCAACAGGATATACATTGTTTTTGGAGTTGTCCAAGAATATCAAAGTTTTTTGTTCATGTATCATTATAATACATTTTTAAATTATGACAATAAAGTAGAAGATTTGTAAAGATCCGGCTGCTTTCTGTTGGAGCTGCTTCAAAAACATTACGGATGTAAGAAGATCTTGACAAACTGCATATTATTGGATCCATGAAAAACCTCTGAGTGACTCAGTGGTATAAAGACGTGTTTATGGTTTTTCAGGGGAAACGACAGCAGCGTTGTGGATTCATAGCGGCCTCTGATGGAGGTGATGTCATCCAGAGAGGAAAGGCCACATGACGCTCTGGGGTGATGGGCGGGGTCATTATGTCTCGACAGTGTAGAGATGGATAACTTAATGTAAACAAGTGTATGTATTAAATTATTGTTTACTTTGTTTATTCATTTGTTGTTTGGTTATTTATTCCTGTGTTTCGTCTTTTGTTTTTATTATTTTGATTTCCCTCAGTGCAGGTCGTGATCTGTGTCGTCATGATGTTTGTATTTCAGTCGTGAATAAAAAGCAAAACGTGATTCATAAATAAATAATAATAATAATAATAATTTCATAATGAGGATTTTTGTGAAGATTGCCCTAAAACCAACAACAATCTGACCAATCAGGTACTGACTTGGTGAGCAGGGCCACAGCGCAGGCCAACGGCGTGAGCAGGCGGCTGATGATGTCATCAGTGACAAGCTCCCTGCAGTGCAGCAGCAGGTTCTTCATCGCTGCACAGACACAGAAACACAGTTCAGACGGCGCGCACACACACACACACACACACACACACACACACACACACACACACACACACACACACACACACACACACACACACACACGAAGTAGTCAGTGTTGTGTGTACTGACCACAGAGCGCCCCTGCTCGTCCCTCCAGCGTAACCTGCCACGTGAAGTAGTCCCCTCGACGTAGCTCCATCTCCTGCTCCCTCAGTGACGCAGGAAACACACACCGCCACAGGAGGAGGAGGCGGGAGAGGTGGTGCTCCACTACGGCAGGTCCTGCACACACACACAGCAAAATACACAATAAGATAAAGGTTGTGGTTGATCGGTGTGTGTGTGTGTGTGTGTGTGTGTGTGTGTGTGTGTGTGTGTGTGTGTACCCAGAGTGATGAGAGAGGAGACGAGCAGCCAGCCGGCCTGAGTCCTCTGCAGGGAGATGCGACTGTTCTGGGAGGCGGAGCGGAGGAGGTCTTCAGCCAGACCCAGCACCACCTGCACAGGTGATAATGAGCCAGGTACGTTTAAACTGTAAAGAAAACACTGTCTGCACTTCCTCTGGTAAAGTTTGTCAGCTCTGCTACAATCACAGATGCTCAGTGAACATTTTTAAACAACAGCTGAAAACCTCTTTATTTCAATTAATTCTTATATTTGACTTTTCTTACTGGTTTGTGTTTTTATTTTCATTTACATGTTTTATCAGCTACTGTCTCTCTATTTTCTATTTTCATTGTCCTTCTGTCCAGCTTTATTTTATTGCACTGTTTTATTTTTTATTGTAAGGCACTTTGAGCTGCATCTCTTGTCTGAGAAATAAAGTTTATCATTACTATTATTGTTATTAATATGAAACATCACATGACATTAGTGCATGTTCCCACCTTGCCCTTGGTGTGTGGTATTCCCAGGGGGCAGTGCTGCACTGAGGCCACCAGGGCGGCGACAGCGGCTCCGTACCCGGCCACGGCTTCAGGTGAGGACTTCAGCGCCACCAGCCGCTCGGCGCAGCGGTCCAGCAGCAGGGAGCACTGGGACGGCATCGCCATGGCAACGCAGCGCAGGCACCAGGCGGCTGCCATCCGGGCCGAGGAGGCGGGGTGAAGGAGGACGGAGATCACCGTGTCCAGGAGGGCTGCATGTGTCAACACACACACACACACACACACACACACACACACACACACACACATCCATGTAACAGATAGAGACGACAGATTTTCTTCTCACCAGTCAATATCTCCTCGTCCTCCTCTTCTGTGCGTGTGCGTGTGTGTGTGTGTGTGTGTGTGTGTGTGATGTGTGTGTGTGTGTGTCAGACCTGTGCTACTGTCAGTGAGGGGGGGCGGCAGTGGATCCCAGTCCCTGAATGAGTCCTCCCAGTTCAGCAGGCAGCAGACCAACACATGCTGCCTGGCTGAGACGTCTGCAGACGAAACTCTGGTCTCCATGTTCCATCAGTCAGAGTGCATCTGAACACACACACACACCACACCACACACACACACAACACACAACACACACACACACACACACGCACAAATGGTTTATTTAATTTATTATTAATTTGAATAAAATTAATTAATTTAAATTAATATTAAATTTATTTAACTTATATTCACTATTTTTGTTTTGTAATGGTTGTGCCCCCCCCCCCCCCGCACCGATGTGCTCGTTCTGTGAGGCCACGGCGAGGCAGAGCTGTTTTGGCGGCGTTGGTCGTATGCTTCTCTCCCAGCAGAGACCCAGGGCTGCCTCACATTCAGGAAAGTGACACAAAACCTAGGAGATGACTCGGGGCGAGATTC